CATTTTCTATTTTTTTTTTTCTCGCTCCGTGATGAAGGAGGAGGGCGTGTCCGAAAATTCCGGACTTAAAAAAACATTTTTTTCTGTATTTCATTTCAGTCATATGGTTAAGAATTAATATTTAATAAATGTTTTTCGTATATGATTATGTTACCCTTTCCTTTGTCCTACTTTTATTAACTATTTTGCATACTATAAGAAGCATACATGGACGCTTTCTCCTAATTATATATGTATATATACATACATACATACATCCATATATATATATATATATATATATATATATATATATATATATATATATGTATAGAAATATATATATGCATATATAAATATGTATATATATATATATATATATATATATTATGTGTATATATATATATATAGAGAGAGAGAGAGAGGTAGAGAGAATGGAAGAGAGTACAGATACAACATTAATAGTTCATCGTGTCACTTTCAACCTACATGTAGTCTTCAATATAGGCCTGTACGCTTCTTTATTGCGCTGAAAATTAATTTACTTGTTTTAATTATTTTTATTTTCATTTTATTTATTATATAATTCTTTCATTTCTATTTTTTTTCATATTTTAAAGAACATTTTTTAGACAAGTTTTAGGATGTTATTTAGTTCTTCGTTTTGTGAAATGAACTTTGAAATAGTTTCAAAGTTAATATTTTCTCGAGACGGAATTATTGCTGTTTTCTCTGGTTCCTCTTCTCTGTAAACCATATAACAAATGTCTGGCTGCTTTTTGCTTTTCAGCTTGATAGAAGTATTTCTGATTCTTTGAATTATCATTCTATTAGTTTTTTAATCTCTTTTTGCTACGTAAGAGAGGCTATTATGAATTCCGTAACGGTTTGGAATCTGATTTTGCACGCTCCCCTCGAGATAAAGTGTATGACTTTCATTTCTCTCGATCGCTCGTCGTTGACTTAACTGGTATTACTGAATTTGTCTATCAGGATTTTTATAAGAATGGTGAGACTCGGGTGGTGGTTTTAGATATCTTGAAGTATTTAACATTATTTGGCATACTACTTTTCTTCACAGGCTCAAGAGCTGTCGTGCCCCCAGCCGAATATTTGGTTTTAATACAGTCGTTCCTAAGAAATTATGTAATGAAGTCCGTGTAGAATTACCACGGATCTTGATCATTTCGCATCAATACAGACACCACAGAGCTATATCCTTGGATCTACGTTGTTTCTTATCTTCAGCAATGTCATTATTTTCCAAACTAGATATTTATATTGATAGCATAACTATTTATTCCTGTCTTAAAAGCCCGTTTGATCTGACAATGTAAATCTAGCAATTTCTTTCGAAGATGAACACCAATTTTGTGTTAACTGGGGCAAGAAATGGCTTATAAATGTTAACACCAACAAAGCAATGCTACTATATTTTAATCATGTTAGAGTACCATTTTGTTTTCCATCAGTATGTCCAATGCTAACCTACTCGATATGTTGAATGATTATATTGACACAATTGCTAGATATGCTGCTAGGAAGTTAGTTCACTCTGTCATACCAGACAATTTTCCTCGCCACAATTGTTCTTGCCATTTCGAAATACTGTCATTTGCTTGAGTAAGAAATATTACTTCCATATATGGTCTGGTGCTCCTGATACTCTCGATAAAATCCTAAGAAATGTCTGTACAGTTATCGTCTCTTACCTGTCACATCAATTTTAATCACATTCTCATTGATGTGACGTGGCTTCTCTCTCTCTTTTCTGTATACATTTTCATGACACTTGTTCTAATGAGCTCTCCTTGGTAGAGATTGGAAAATAAATCTCACTGTTTTACTCTTAAAATCGCTAGAGGAAAACATTTCTATTAGTTTCGTTAGAATTTTTTAATTGCTATATCAATCACCATCGTTCGTTTTTCTAAATCTTCTTTTATTAACCTTTCTCTTCCATAAAGTGTTCGCATTTTTTCACTCAAAGTAAGCCCTTACGTCTTAGTGGCTTTATTACCTTGCAACGAATGGAATAATAAAAACGCAGTTCTTTAAGGTGTTGTTAAAACTGTATATATTGAGAATAATACTGCTGTATTCGTAAATTAAATCCGCCGGTTTTGAAAGAAGGAATTTGGACTACGTTTTAAAATAAAACACATGCATACTTTTTTCTCTTATTTTAATTTTTTCTCATCTGTCCCAACCAAAAATCTACTGAGATATTCAAAATTATGCTAGCGGAAATAATTAACACAGACAAAAACTAACAGTTTTTTTTTCGAAATCTCTGATTAGAGCAAAGTGAAAAGCCACTTATTCCAAAGTTCATTAAACAATCATCTGAAAGTCGAAGTTATCCGTCTTTTCAGACGCCATAATTTAGTAGATAATTTCTTCTACATATACGACTGTAAGATATCCACGTTTGCTGGGCTATATAATATGACACTTGAGGTTCTATTTCCAAAGATTAATCTCTTTGAGTAAAAGGGCTGGAAATTGCGTGCAAGAGCTGGGCGTATTTTTCTTTTACTGCTCGTCAAAGACCGACAATATCTTGCGAACGGAAATGAACGTGAACTCTTTTCTTGTCTTCTCTTTTCCAACGTCATTATGAATATTATAGCTGATTGCTTTCTCCGTCGTTTTCCATGGATTTTTCCTAAAAGACGGCATTCAACCTTGGGAAAAAGTCGTTTCTTTATGATTACATAGACGTTAATGAATTAAATCTATTCGAATGTTGATTTGATTCCTATTCTGTTGAAACCTTTTCTGTGAAAAAAAATATGGGTTAATCTGATGCAACATCCGTCCTTCCTTTAATACCTAATATTTCTTCTGGTATTTGTTAAGGGAAATTCTATGCGGTTTATTTAATTTTGTACCTGAATAAGCCTAATTCGTTTTGAGGGCTTTGAAGGTTTTCATTTGATTCTGATAATATTGACATTAAAGGAAAGCGCTTTTTAAGACTGCTGTCTACGCTTGACGATTTGTCATGGCAGTGTGACTTAGACATATCCACAGTCTGTCAAACTTCCTGACATGCCAGTAAAAAGTCATTTAAAAAAAGTATCTCATTATAGATAAACAGTAGGAATGTGCGGAGAAAAAACAACATTTACTTAAATGAAATAGATACTGAGGTAATGGTTTGGACTCTTTTTATCTTTCCCGTATAAAATCAAATTTCAATGAAACTGTCAAACATCAGTTCAGCTTCAGTTTAAAATTTAAGTCAGGCAGTCGTCATTTGATGAATACAACAGAGAACGGACACTAATATCCAAAGACGCATTGAGATAGCGAAAGATGACTTCCTAAATCTAGGTAAAGTATTAAGTTAGAAACAAAGAAAAGAGTACTTAATTTTTATATCATATAAGACTTTCAATATGTCAGTAGATGTTGGACAATCTCATTACAGATGAAGAAGAGGTTTAAAGCAAAATAAACAGACAATACCACGAACTGAACGGGTGAGCAATGACGAAGTTTTAGAGAAAATGGAAACAAAATTAACACTTGTATATGCTAAATACTCTGGGTGGAAGTTTAAAAACAAATATTAAGCACAAGCCCCAGGGGGGATCTTCTTCCCAGGCAGTACATCTCCTTCGAGAGGGTTTGGTTTATTGGCCGATACCTAAGGCGTCCACAAAAGTAAACGTATCGAAAGGGACTTGTGCAATTTTACCACGGTATTGCCATTAAACCCACGTTAAACTCAACGTGTACCACATTACGTAGCGACGTGAGCCATCTGAAAAATACTTTTCTTAAGAAAAAGGAAATTGCTCGGACATATGATGAGGAAAGACAGCATAGCGTAATTGATACTCACATGACACATTGAAGGCAAGAGGGATAGAAAAAACAGTGAATAACCTAATAATCTTTTGGTAAATGCTTGGCAAAACAGTGATTATGAAATATCTGGAAAGGAAAAAAAATATTAAGAGAGACAAACGACAGAAAATTGCAGCACATTGAATAAGAATACACTGTAGTATGATCCTTGAACATCTATTTCACGCAATTCACAACAAACATCGCGCAATCTGGGTTTTCCTGCATTTGACCAGTGAATGGTGAAGCACGTGAAGTTATACTATCATCCCGTTTTCTAAAAATGTTGTGATGAATATGCTTATATAGACAACCACCTCAGGCAGTTCCGGGAAATCCCAGGTAGTTCCCGGTAGTACCAGATAGTCTCTGAGTCATTGAGGATATAATGGATATTTCACTTATAGGGCACAGGACAAGGGGATTCGCTACATAAACTAGCCGAAAGTAACAAATGAAATACTGGAGTAAATAAAATGCTAATCGAGGAAGATGTTTTGAAGCATCGTGTTAAAATTTTATCGAGACGCCATCTTCATTATAATACAAGGTGAGACAATCTAATTCCAGCAATAGGCCTGTGAAAGCTTAATTTCTTTCACTGGTCATTATCATTTCTCGGTTCAAGGTCAATACTTTAAAGTTAACAGAACCACGACGCGTCTCTATTTGTCTGTCTTTCTCTCTGTCTGTCTGTCTGTCTGTCTGTCAGTCTCTGTTACGTCCACATGGCACCATCATGTACCTCTCCTCACTCATCCTTGAATCATCTGTACAAGTTAAAAGCACTCGGTTTCTTCACAACATGTTCAACATAAAGCATTTTTAGGAGTAGCATCTTACTATATCCGTTTAGTAATCCTCACATAAACATTGATTCTAATCGGCAGCTCCATTCATTTTCTACGAACACAGCAACATGTGCACTTCCTCTACTGCTCGGTTAAGTATCACTCATCTTCTTTTCCTCTGAAGGAAGAGGAAGTTGAAATATTCGGATGTACTCAAATATGACTGTCAATGGTTTATCATTCTAGCGCTACCCTGCGTTAATTTCAGGAATCAACTTGTCACAGCTCATATATGTAATTATGTTGAAAAATTTATATATGTATACTTGTATTGCTGGTTACCTAAGGTTATATCAAAGTATCGAATTACAGTTTCACATTTTTTTTTGCAAAATATTCTTTGTTTTTTTCTTTCTATCTATCTATCTATCTATCTATCTATCTATCTATCTATCTATCTATCTATCTCAGTCTGTTCATTATCTATCTATCTATCTATCTATCTATCTATCTATCTATCTATCTATGAAGGACAGCTCCAGTCTCTAGTAAAGTTCCATGCTCTCGCGATTTTCAGGCAACTATACACCTGAAGAAACTTTGTTAGCGATTCGAGCTTGACTCCGTTGAGGGTGGACATTGTGAAGCGTTCTTTTGATCTGTCTAGATGTTGAGCATTTTCATTTACTTCGCAGGCAGGTGTCTGCCTTTTGTTTTTTCTTGTCTTCTACCTGAATCTTTCTTGTCAAATTTATTAGTTCTTTTTCAGACTTGTTTGTTGGTCACGCTAATATTGTTCGGTTTTATAGTCTCTCTCTCTCTCATGCACAAACACACACACACACGGACATATATATATATTAGGTTGATCATATAAAGCTATGGCTAATTTCTCCTCAGCACATAATTTACAAAATTTATGGCCTGCTTTATATTTTGGGCATTTTTTTAATATTTCCCATTTAAGGATGGGGTCTTTATTATCTTCTTGTTTGGTTTTCCATACATAGGTAGATAGCGTGGTACTATGTTTAATTTTTGTGTTCTTAAAACTACTCGTGTGGTTATAATATCTTTTTTTAAATTTATCCTGAGTAGCACCTATGTATGTTTTAGGGTTAGTATCCTCCGTATTTTTGTAAATTTTCACTTGATAAACCACGCATGCTTGCTGACATTTACCCTATAATGGACAGATGTTTTTGTTTCTACAATTACAAGCAGGAGGATTACTACGTGGATCATTCCTAGTTTTTTTCTTATTCAATCCATTTATAATAGTCCCTATGTTCGGCATACAACAATAACTAAGTTTTACATTGTTTTTGTTAAATATTTTATGTAACTCAGTTTTTTTTGGGAAATGTTCCTCCAGTAAATTAAAAAATATCTTACCAATTTTAGTTTTTACCGCTAAATTAAAAGGAGGATTGAACCACAAAATTTTTCTTTGCCTATTATTATGTTTATTCCGAGTAATGTTGTGGTTGTCTATATATTCTAATTTATTTTTATGTCCACTCTTAATTAGGGCTTGTTCATAACTTATTTTGTTGGTCTCAAAAATGTCCCTATTGGAGGAATTAGTAGAAAGTCTATACCCAATATTTTTAGAAATATGCCTTATAATATGGGCTGGGTGATTTGATTTTATGTGTAAATACTGGGGTTCTTGGTTTTCTTTTTTTATACGGGGATATTGTGCCATTTTGTAAATTCAACATAATATCTAGATAGTTGGTAATTTTCAAATTAGTTTCTATATCGAGATAAAATCCGAATTTTTTAAAAAACCAGTGCAGTTTTTTTACGGATATTGTCACATTTTTGAGTGTTACTATTGTCCACTATGATTAAACCGTGGTCGCGGTACAACCCATGGTTATTAAAGTCTATATATTCATTAAGCCTATGGAGCAGCAGGCACCCTACTATCTCGCACACCTCTGCCCCATCAAACGCTCCCATAGAGTTGTCAAAACAGTTAATATTATCTTTTTTTATCCATAAAGTATTATCGTGAAATAGCAATGTTTTTCTACAATGTCTAATTAGATTTATTTTATCATCAGGAATTTGGATGTATTCTTTAGCTAAGCTAAGGGCTTCGTTTAGCGTTTTCTCTGAAATAGACGGATAATACTCCTTAATATCATACCTAATAAATGAGCACTTTTTATTTTTGTTGTAATTTTCAAACCATTTAATGCAATCCTTAGTAGATTGCCATTGGTTAATATTAAGGAAAGTTCTAAGGGAATTACATATATCCTGCAGAACTATTTTACTTATTTTGCCTAATTCCGCTTTAGTAGGGTTTATAAGTCTATATTACGGATTATTAATAAAGTTACTTTTATGATCTTTTATGGTGATAAAGCAAGTGTTTAGGTTTATTTTTTCAACTCGATTTCCTAATTCAAATTTTTTAATTAGGATACTAGCCTCATTGTTAATTTTAGTCTCTATGTTATTAGGAGCTTTTATATAATGTTTTATTACCTCTTTATGTAATATTTTTTTGTAATTATTGGGGCTCATTTTATATAAGTATTTAGATTTATCAGCTTTTACGTAAATATTCTTGTCTTCCTTTATTTCTTTTATATTTTTAGCAATTTGTTGTTGCACGTTATTATTTCTTATCTTTCTATATTTTAATTTTTTGATAATGCCGATTAACTCCGATTCGAAGTTATTGAGTTCCTAAACATACGGGGGATGGGCATTGGTCTTAAATCCATAGCTCTCGTTGGTTTTGCTATTAGGTTTATTATTTAAACAAATATATGCACGCCACCTCATATTTATTCTAATTTTTTTTCTATTTTTCTTAATAAACATAACTCGTATGAGTGACGGTCAGGTATGGGTATGTTTTTAAGTGAATAACCTATGTCTACACGTTCCATATTAGTCGATTTAAGACAGTGCTCGATAGGATAACCTAGAGCTTTATACATATAAATATAGATAGACTCGTTTCGAAAAACCCTCGAATGTCTGCTCTACGGTTGTATTGAGCTCTTTTGTTAGTTAGTTGTTTACTCGTATCGGGGTTTTTTCTTTGGGCTTCAGACCTGCATCTGTGCGATTTTTTGTCGACAGAAGTTCATGTTTGTAGCTCTTTCTTTTTTTAAAACCTTTTTTTCCCTCGAGATTGATTTGATTAGCAAATAAAAATTCGAGGGTTTTTCGAAACGAGTATAGTTATATATATATATATATATATATGTATATATATATATATATATATATATGAAGGGATAAAAATTAAATAATCAACCGATTCCGTTACTTTGTTTTCAAATTTCGATGTCTTTAGCTGATTTCAATCAACTGATTTCGTAACGCTTTATTTAAAAAAATAGTAACAAACACTTATTATTTTAAAATAAATAAGCATATATACTAGGCGACATATTATAGAAGTGGATGGGGTGGAGGTGAAAAGCAAGTGTAATGAAAATGTATCGGTGGAGGGCAAAGAAGTGTACATACTTTATTTTCATCCTGGTTCATATGAACTGAAAAAAGAACTTTTTAGTGCGTATGCATTATTTTCGTTCTCTCATTCAAAAGTTTGTTTTCTTGATCTGAAAATGTTATTATTGAAAACCTTTCTTGTTAACAATGGTTGCAGATATTACGATGATTGTTGTAAGATTTGCCTTTTTTGTAATTTTCCAGTTCACATTTGGATCCTTGTTATTTTTATTTTAACTTTCACACATTTTGGCTAGTATGGTAGAATTCCTAAAACTTTCTTGCTTGAATATATATATATATATATATATATATATATATATATATATATATATATGTATGTGAGAGAGAGAGAGAGAGAGAGAGAGAGAGAGAGAGAGTAAATGAGAACGAAAAAGAGATAAACTAAAATAAAGAAAACAAAATGGATTTCGGATTTATATACCAACTACAAAAGTCATTTCATATATGTGGTTGAAAGAAATAATTTAGCACAGTTTAAGGTAAGTTTATTATAACTTAACATTTAATATGTTAATTTCCTATGTATGGCAGTTGTACAGTGTTAATCGGACGGGGTACGTATTATATTAATTTTTACCCTTGAAGATATGTCGCTTTTTGTATTTATAATAAAGAACCAACGTTATTAATGTTGTCTAGAAGAATCGCAACTCCAGTAATATTAATATATAGGCACTTTATTTTTTTTATTCGGTGTTCAATCTCCAAAATATCAGTTAATGTTGGACAATATATCTTGTGGTATTTCGAGTAAAAATCACAATAAAGAAAAATTTTATCATGCTAGAGATAAGAGAATGAACGAATAATTGATATACTACTTTTCGGAAATGCATTATGTTGAAGTGAAGATCCAACAAGACTATCCTAAAGGAACTCCAATACCGGCAAGGATTTATCATCGGCAAATATTAATACAATATGATATACTCTGTTGAGACGGTTTTCTTGGCAGACTCAAAAGTAAAACTGAAGAACTATTAGATAAGATATTTAAAGAAAGCAAGAAGAAAGAGCTATTAAACTGTTGGAACTCCGAAATCATAGCAGTTAGCAAAAGAGACAGCCCAGTCCATCAGATAAGTCTTGAGGCCGCCAAAATCAGAGAAAAGGATATATCTGTATAAAATACTAAGAGTTAACGGAATATGCAAAATCAGAAATCGCATAATAGTGAAAGATGTCTTCCAGAAATTAGACAAAATATTATGTGAACAATTATTACGAAAATCGTTAATGGTGAATAAACAGACGAAAACGTGTCTTGAAGCAACAGTGATGATGTGATAGAAATAAACGCTGCGAATGCCATAGGCAGAATATGTGAGCAAGGAGGAAGAAAATAGGAACTACAATGGAAATTAGACTTATAATCAGTAACAGTTGAAATTTCAGGGAAACGAAATGAGAAAAACAGGCCAAGAGATTAAAACATTCAGAGAACAGGCAAGTGAAGATGGTAACAGTGAGTTAATTAACGTGTTTGTGTGAAGGGTTAAGAGTGCAAGACAAAGAAGAATGGTAAAGTTCAAAAAATTACAGTTATAAAGACAGAATCTGAAGAGTGGCCTGATTGTCCATGTCCATGACGGTCACGACACATAATAGTAGAAAATTAATCTGCTTCAGATAAAATTCGAACAAGATGCTAATATCTACGGAAATTATATTATCTCTAATTCTTTTAATTACATGCCGAGCAACCACCGTTGCATAGGGAAAATAAATCATACGGACGGAAACAGCTTGCACGTATGTATATCGTATTAGATTAAACTTATTAAACTGAAAGAAACATACATAAGAATTATATTCTGTAAGAATTATTCTTTAAAAGATTTTATAAAAACAAAAGATTCTAGAAGATTTTTTAAAGTGTCTTCTGAAATCTCGGAAAACGAACATATTTTTTCGAATCATTTTAAAAGTTAAAATTTAATCTCATTAAACAAGCTTAGTGGTTAGGATATGAAAAATATAAATTAAACTTTAAATATATTTAAGATATATTTCTTGCTTAAAGTTAATCTTATAAACTC